ACACACACACACACACACACACACACACACACACACACACACACACACACACCTACCTTCTGGCAAATACAAAAAGGTCCTCTCTGAACATCACAACGTTTTAATTGTGCTTCCGTAACCCCTTAAAATACACTTTTGTATTCTTAGTAACTTTCATTATTATTCAGTTTTTCATACACAGTACATTGGGCATCCCCCAACGAGGCTTTAGTCAGAGTCAAAATAAAATTACCAGCACTGTAATGAAATTATTTTTAATTTTATTGGGGAGTAATGAGCTCCAACGTAGCGGATATTTGTGTGATCCAAATGATCAAAAGTCACAGGACTTGAGTTCAGTCACAGAAGGTAACAGACTGTGTCTCAAACTGATTAATTGGAAAATCCCTGTTATTCCAAATCTTTACTAATCTTTCTGATGACTACACTGAGAAAAACTGCATAACTTTGTAGTGACAAACCCACCGGTGAGACACAGCTTATTATGAGGTTATCAGAAAGACCCCAGTTTCAGCAGCACCTCAGCGTCTGTCAACAGGTACTGCTCTACACTAGGCAGGCTTTAAAGTAGTGAAGGGCAGGACCACTGACAGAGCACAGAGGGGAGACGTCTATGACATCTAATTAAAGCAGGATGAGATATGAAGCAGACACGAAAGAAAAGACTGCTGGGACTAACACGCTGATAGCCTGCGTCTGTGCTTGCTTTGTAAACAAATGTTCCAACTTCAATGATAAAAATTGATGATTAAAAAAAAAAAAAAAATTTGACTCTGAAAATTAATCATCAGCAGATCTGTGTCACGAGTACCACAGAAGGCTAAGCTGGATTGCTAGCAAAGCTGCCAGAGTCATACACTACAGCTGTGACCAGACGTTTACAGAGGCTACAATCATTTCTTTTATCATTGTACAGCATACATCTTAAATAAACAAAACACAAACATTTTTATTTTTCTGTATTCCACAATAATGTATATTAATAAGTAGTGCTGAACTTTCTACAGTGTTTTTAAGTTGATGAGAAGTTAATATTGTGACTGACGACAACTGGCAGCTTCTCTTTGTCAACATAATGAAGAGCATTTGTTTGACAGCACTTACTGGACTGACCAATCCGATGAGTGTGGTCATTAGCTTGACCTTGGACCTTCCCGAACAACAGGAAAGTCTAAGGAACTCTAAGGTTAAGTTCACACTGCAGGCGAAAGCGCTTCAAATCCAACTTTTCTGACCCATATCCGATCATGCTATGACAGTTTGAACGGCATAAATCCGATATTTTCAAATCCGATCTGGGTCACTTTCGTATGTGGTCCTGAATCCGACACATATCTGATGTTTTAGAAAGCGACTGCTGTTTGATGGTCATGTCGCATTAAATCCGTCTTTTACGTCACTGACACAAGACAGACGCCAACTATCAGCGCCGGAGAAGACATCGTGAACGCTTCCTGTCCATCCAGTGAAACTGTTGGGAAGACGACGTTGGAGAAACGTGAACATTTTCTTTGTACTGTATAATCTGCAGATTCTGACAGAAATCTGCAGCTATCCTTTGAAGCAGCGCTCCTCTCAAACAGCAACAAGGATCATTATTAGGCCAAATGTAAATAACACAATAACTTTATAACTTAAAGCAAAATTGGGAAACGTAAAGTCCGAAACAAGTCTTTATATTAAGGCCATCAGTCAAACAATACTGTTGCTCTGGGTCTAAACAGAGCGCGTTGTGTGTGACGTCTTCTTTTGCGCATGCGCCGCTTTGAGCGTCCACACTAGAGCGCGTTTGCTGTCGCATTTTATTTGTAGTGTGAACGAGCAGACAAAAAAATAAAAAAAATCAGAATTGAGCATCAAGACCTGCAGAGTGAATGTAGCCTAAAATCTAAGGATGAGAATTGTGCATTTACACATTGGGAAGATCCCTTGAAGCCATTTCTGCACAACTGCAGATTCCACGATCATCAGTTCAAACAACTGCACTTAAGTACAAGTTTATTTGGATGTGTGACCACAAAGTCTGGAGGAAGACCCAAACAATCACCCTCAGATGACAGGAAAGGGATTAGGATGTTCAAGAAGAACACAGCACGAGTCAAACGCCTTCTGGAGAAAAGTTTGACAGTCAAACAAGACCAAGATTGAGCTGCTTGTTTTGAAAAACAACTATTTCAGCTAACTGGGGACATTATCATAACTGCAAACTGAAGTTCAACGAGTGAGGAGAGTACTGAGTAAGGCTGTTAACAAGTGTGTGTCTGCTGCTGCCCAATCACTGAGAGTGCGCCAAGATAAGGTGGGAGTGTTTGCAGAAGCTACATACAATCATATCTTGGGGAGGGGAAAAACAAAGAGTCCCAACATAAAGAAAAAGGTCCTGCTGGAATGCATTTGTAGAAGCTTTCCACACACACCAAACGTCTGAGTTTCTAGATGTATGAATGCAAGCACAGGCTGGAGTAGTAACATTCCTGTAATCATCAATTCCCCAGCAGAAACAAGAGGCCAAGAGAGCGCGTCCAAGCAGATAACATTCCTCTAAGGGACCGAGTAAGAAAACAATGGCACTCTCTCTTCATGTGCACAATACTGAGCTGGTAGGAGGGATTACACGTTAAGGATTTGGCAGGTCAGGCTGAGGACGGGCTCAGATGTGTGACATCACCTGTGAGATATGCTGAGTAAAACACATTCCTGCTCGCAAATGAGAAATCCCTGTAATGAGGTCTGCACTGCTGCTGGCAGCAGGCAGTTTGAGCCACAACATCTACAACGGGGAGAGCGAAATCAGGCAGTAACAGTGAGGAGGATTTCTCCCGAGCACATTTTCCTTGGAATTTATACAAGACAGATTTCAAGATAAGCTTCTGGCTTCACTGGAGTTTTGGCTCACGGGAGGAAGAACATGAAGCGACAGGAAAATAATAATCACACGAGGGGGAAACTGTCCTAGAAGTGCAATCACTATCACTGTGCAGCAAGGCGCTCGTCTGTGAGGCAATAAAGTGAAACGAATAAAGAGAAAAAAGGGGAGGAGTGAGTTCTGGAGTGGTGACCAGCATGTCATGTGACCGAGCGTGTTCTCCAGAGAGGATCATGGATTTACAGGTGATCAGGAGCACGAGAGCACGCGCTTCATAGGATTAACAGGACTGCTCCACTGACACAGGCACACTGTGGTCACTGGTACACTGCTTTCACTTTCCAGCTCATAACCACATAAGAACACCGTTTATGTCAAGAGCCCATCTGAAGGCAATTAGTCACAAAGAATGATTCACTCAGATGCTATTATTAACAAGGTGTCGATTTCAAGGATGAGCAAGGATCAGGACGCGTCCAAAAACAAGACTCTCTCACATGTGCGCTGGTTAATGGGTCATTTTTTATTTTTGTAACGTGCTATTCAGCCTTGCTAAGTACATTTTTAGAGCGCTGATATCAACCTAAATATCTGTCCTATCACAGACGCACACTTATCTTCAACAGTGTACAACAACATAGTGAGCAGTGTTGTTAGTTCAGGACAGTTTTATTTTGTTCTGTCACATCTGTAAAAAGATGTGACAGAACATCTTGGTTTTATAACATTGTTTCTAATATTTCTTATGAGTCAATAATCCGAGAAGATCAAAGTTTTATGAATTTCTATACGACTCAATATCAAAAATTTAATATTACTTGACTTAATTAAAAAAATAATAATAATAGTACCACTTGTTTTCTTGAAACTTGAGTTCTTTTTTTGGTAAATTTGCTCTTTTTCCCCCAGGAAATTTGTCTATTTTCTCTTGTAAGCTGCCAGTTTTCCTCATCCCTGAAGAATAATGCAGAAAAATATACTTTTGGTAATTTAGAAATAGTGTTATATTATAGTTTGTCCAGCAGAGTAGCTCTCAGTCTGTTTTATAATATACTCAGCACTGTATGCAGCACATGTAGCAGAGCAGCAAGTTCTCCTGTATCTAAACAGTTAAGTTGTTAATTACTTTGTAAGGATTTGCATTGGTGCATAATTTTTTTTGTTTTTTTTAAACCATATTTTTATTGATCATAAAGGTCAGAAATAACAGGAACCTGCATGAACAAATCAGGACTCTGTACCTGAACTAGTCCACAAACCAGGAGCCGGTGTGGAGCCCAGAGAAAGCCTGCATATGTTCCCAAAACTTAACATCCACCAGTTTCTGATAGTTTCACAGAAGACTGAGCGCAGAGCGAGTGAAATTCTCTAAGACGTAAAGGCTCTAATGAGGATCATAATTATAAAAGAGAGTGCGATGTGGAGCTGTCAGACTTTTCCTGGCACAATGGGAAGTATCTTTAAAAACTCCTTACCGGTAAGTCAACACTGACATCTGTCCCATCCAGCAGAGACACACGGCAGGTGATGATAGACGTTGCATCCCCAGCTGCAGGGATGTGCGTTGTGGCCCGCTGGGCTTCTCGTAGCCGGGCTTTCTCTGCATGTTTCCGGATGGAGCGTCGCCCCAGCGTCCTGCGCAGGAAACTTAACATGACGGGGGGAGAGGAAGAGCACCTGTATGCACCTGAAATCGAAGAGTGTATAGATTTATTTTTTTTTAATAATTAAGGTAAAAATGTATTAGTTTTGTGTGCAGTTGGTCTGTAGTCGAGCCATGGCCGTCAGCCTAACCACGGTGGCGTGCCCACTCTCAACCTACGTTCGTACACCTCACCCTATGGCCACAACTTCCAGTAGCTGTTGAAAGAATGAGATGGCGGGTAGAATCAGTGGAAATGAGCTTCCTCTGAACGGTGCTTGGGCTCTCCCGTAGAGATCGGGTGAGGAACTCTGTCACTTCAGGGTTGGGAGGAGCTCAAAGTAGAATGACTGCTCTTCCAACCTGAAAGGAGTCAGCTGAGGTGTTTCAGACATCTGACTAGGATGCCTCCTGAGTGGTTTTTAGCTAACTGGGGGGAAACCCTGTGACTGACCCACGTAAAGTGCTCCACTGAACTAGGAAATACTAAATGCCATCCCAGGAGGGCTGGATAACATGTGTGGAGAGTTCTGCTTAGACAGCTGGCAGACATCTGTGATCTAGGCTGGGATAAACAGCAGATCATGGATGGATGTCAGTTTTACACCACAGGAACACAGGTGTGTCCTCTGGTTAGGGTGTACAGCTGCACAGGTGACACATTTTATGCTAAGCTGTCAAAAATCTGATATTCAAATACAGCTTATGTCACTTTGTATGAAGTTATGCTGCTCATTTAGTCGAGAAAACAGAACTGATAAGGTGGGGCTGTAATTACTGACGGCAGGTAACCGTGTACCTGGTGTCAAACAGATGATTTTCTTTCCATCTAACAGAATTCCCAAATAGATTATAAAGACTGATGGGAGGATTTCATCGATAAGGCTTTTTTTAAATATAACAATAAATCTAGAAAATAAATATGTGCGATGTTATTTGACATCAAGAAGGCAAAGTAACGTTAAACACGACAAAACAAAGTTAGAGTTTACGTTTTAACTTAGTCTGAAACAGCTGCTAACGGTAATCGACCTTAAGTGTGCGTATTTTTAATATATTTTATTTTTTCCTGTGACTTCAGGTCACCCGGTAAACCAAAGCTCCTAAAAAAACTCCGAAACGGACCTAAAATAATTTTTAAAAAATCCACTGGATCAACATTAATTAATCAAATTAGCCCTAGCTTTATCGGTAACCTTACCCAGTTAAGGCCCCAAGTACCTGGTGTAAGCAAAAGCAACAGGTGTGCGTTCGTTATACCGCGCGGGCTAACCGTTAGCCACCAACGCGCTTAAGAAGTACGACTCCGACCGGGCAGGCGCGCCCCGCACAGCAAAACGAACGCCGCGTTTAGCGCCCAGAGCCGACGTACACTTGCTCCAGCAGACACTTGTGGATCCGAGGACGTCTGAATGATGGGCTACTTACAAAAACCTCCTCGCGGGAATTCACGGTGAAAGGACGCCCGCCTGCATCGCAGTCGGCTAAACAGAAGCCTCGGACATTTCCGCACTTTGTGACTTCTGGTTTTCTAATCTTCCTTTTCCTTGTTTTATTCCGCCTCGGTGCCTCTGCGGGATAATTTTCTCTCCCAGGTCCCAACAAAAAGTAGGAGGCAAGCGCTCCTCAGGAAGTGACGTCACGACAAATCCCGAAGAAAGGGACTCGATTAGCATTTTTAAAG